AATTTTAAAAGCTTTGTCGTTTGGGATGACAGGGAAATCATATTGACACGTGGAAAGTTAGACTTAAACACACAAATAATCTAGATTAATTTAATAGAGACTAAATTCCAATTTATTAACTAAATAATTATTTATTATCTATTTTTTTTTATATATATTTTGTATTTTTAGTCAAAATACTAGAATATTATCAGCTGCTAACCGAAGCATTGAAAAAAAAGACTTTTTTTTTTTTAAATGATTAAATGTCAAACCTTTATAAGTGACGTAAATACAAATATATTTTATATTGAAAAAATCAAAGATATTTTAGTAAAATAAAAAAACATAAAAAGTTAGTAAAATTGTTTAGAGCCACACACACTCACTCAAGTGGAGGGTTGAATATGTTCATTAAGCATCTTTCAAAGCTTTTCTATGTAATGTATTTGTTCTTGAATTTCCCTCTCACTTTCTCGTGATGGGTCCCCTCATACACAAATTTTTATTTCTTTTTTCATTTGAGAGAAGGAAATATATATACATATATATATCACATCCAATCAGGTCGGTATACTGCACTTCACATTCATGATATCTACATTCAACTATACCTCGGAGACACGATCAATGCCCAACCAGTATCCTTCTTATACGACATGCTTTGGTTCCAGTGTAACAACTCTAATTTTCTATTAGCCTAAAGTCGCTATCACATGCATGACATAACTTTTTTACGCAGAAACATATGCTATAATTCCTAATTTATATCATACAATTTATAGTTTAAAATAAAATTGTCTTTAATATATATATATATAATATTTGAGAAGTTTGAAGGATGTGATGGTGAGTTGAAATAAAGAGTATAAGATTGTTCCAATTGTGGATGCTTCATTGGTTTCTTGAAATAGTCATCTTTGTTTTTAGAAGCTATGATTGCCTGACTTTTAAACGCCAAAACTTATTGTCCATTTCAATGTACTTTTTAATAATTTTATTTTCTAATTTAAAATATACACTCAAATTTTAATAATAATTTTTCATTTTAAATTTTGTTCTAAAAATTACTCTTAACTTTTCAGGTACATAAATAGACCACCGTCTTATGCTAACATTCATTCAAAACATCTCTCAATGTTTCAAAAACATCAATTTCAAGTATGCATAATATCAGACCCTAAACCCTAATCGATAGTCAGGTCGGCCAACCAAACTAAAACCTACCTCAAAATTTATCGATATTTTGTGCGACACTCGGAGTAAAAGAGGGGTATATGGAGTGATCCTTGAGACAGGACGACTTCATTGAGTGACCTCTTGGGAATTTTTGTTAGATGCATGTGAGTGAAGACAAATCATGCTGGAATGGCTCGTGTTGGTTTGTGGAGATAGTCTTCACTCTTAGAAGTGAAAAATAGGTAACATGACTATGTCGTAGGAAAATGTCGGGCCGATCAAGTGTCAAATTTGGAATTGGAATCTTGATCTAAATTTTGAACCAGAATCGTTACATTTTGTATAATTGAACAAAAAAAAAAATGTTCGATTTTCATTCTTAAAAACGTTATGGAATAAAATGGGAGTTGAAGGGATTCTTTTTAAAAAGAAATATATTCTCTTTTCGTGTATATACAAAGAAACTAAATCTTTTCAAAATCTTAAAAGATTCTCTTTTGAGAAAAGAATAGAATATATTTTTCATATAAAAAAAAATTACATTTAATCTTTGGAATAAAAGTTGATATGACACGCCACGTCAGCTTTCAATTTTTATTAGTTTTTAAATTTTGTAGAGGTAATAGTTTTTTTATTTTTAATATAAATAGGAAGCATCTATCTATTATTATTATTGTTATTATTATTATTCTAAATTAATAAAAGTAATTTTTTTTCTGAAAAAAATACTTTTAAATTTCAAAATATTTAATTAATATCTTTATGTCTTTTTTAAAAATTCAAAAAATATTTTTATCATTAGTATCATATTTAAAAAATATCATTGACGTTACTTTTTAAAAATAGTATTAAAGTTACAGGTATTTTTTAAAAAAAATTAAAAAATTAAAGCTATTTTTTATTATTTTTTTTAAAACGTTTAAAGGTATCATAAAATTTTTGAAAACTCATGTAAGTTAAAAGATATTTTTGAAGTATAGTATTAAAAAGCATGAATGTTCGATGAAAATTAGGACTTGAAATGGTGTAGCGATCAGGTTTCAGGTTATCACCACGTTCATTCCAAGTCCCAAAGTCACAAACTCAAATTAATCCACGAGCTTGAAGTCACATTATTAGGTCTTTAAACTTTCAATTATGTCTAATAGAACCTCGATCTAAACAAAAATGGTTAACCGTCATTAAAATTTTGTTTGACGACGTAGAGAGGCAAACCTTTTTTAGTTACATAAAGACGAAGGCTCTAAGTGGGCAAATATGACGGGTTTTGGCTCAACACGTTACTCTTCTCCAAACCACTTCAATGTTTTAGCTTTTGCATGGGTCAATCAACCCCACGAGCCTACAAGTCTTTTTCATTCAAACGCTCGACTTTGTTATTAAATTAAGCAAAGCTTGATTATACTATTTTTTTCCAAATTAATACAAATTTAAATATATATAATTAATATAATTTAAATAAATATTATTCGACCTATTACATATCTCTCACGATTTTAAACCATGTTTGATAAAACGAGGTTAAAATAATTATTTAGAGAAAGTAAAATTTAACCCACCAATCTTTATCATTGAAAATGACAACAGTCAAATAATTGAGTGAGTCTGAAGTACTATGCTGTAAAAAATGTACAAACAAGCAAAAAAAATCACAGAAATTTACCAACTAAGGTAAAGTTGAGGTAATATTTAAATTTTAAAATTTTAAATGCCTCCAAAAATGGAAAGTTTTATTATTATTATTTATTTAATTATTTAAAAAGGTTGAGAGTTAATAATTATTTATTATTTCTTATTTAATGTAAACAAACAATTCATAACTTTTCCTATTTAAGAATTAAAAAAAGGGTTTGGTTTTTGCCTTTTTATAGAAAGTGAAGTTTTTATATGTCTTTCCTTTTCTTGCCCTTTCTCTCTCTCTATAAACGGTTCGTTAAATTCATCAACTTCCCACGCGCTTTTGTTCATTCGTGTTCTACACGCGCCTAAAATAAAATAAAATAAAAGTCACCCTCGTTTAACTTTTATTCGACGTAAAAATTTAAATTTATATCCGATCAAATAACTAATTTTTAAATATTCGAATTTTAAAAAGTAAAAGTATAAAGACGTGTAACAATATATGCCCAAAATTAATATCGAAATTTGAAATTTCAATTTGACATCTATATTCCCTCTCGTATTATTTGGTTGTCTCCAATCGCTTTTAAATTTTTATAAACATTTTTAAATAAAAGATATTTAAATTTTTTTTTTTAACTTGATGGGTATAAATGGAATTAAAAATCAAATATTTTTTAAAATTTAAAGATATTATTGAAATTTTTCAAAATTTATTTTTTTTATATATGAAAAAAGTAAAAAAAAAGGTAGAAATTCTATTTACAGCATAATTTAGTTATAAAGGAAGTTAAGTTACAAAGTTCACTCTTACCAAAAAGGTGAAAACATGGAATGGAAGGTGAAGAGAAAAAAAAAAAAAAAAAAA